TCCTTACTGCTCAACGTGTGTCCTCCCAGAGCTGCATGCTCAAAGAGGACAACCTTCCCAGAATAAACATGGACTGTTCTTTGGTCAAGGGTATACCAGTTGCTACGCACCCTTGCTAGACCCTCCAAACAAGCTCTAAAGGAGCTCATTTGGAAAAAGAATGAAATGGTCAATAATGTATCAGGGAAGCAAGAGAAAGAGGGGCTTCAAGGAATACTTGCTGCTCACCAAATCCTATTCTGTGGTCCTACAGCTCTACAGACTAGAGTGATACTGCATGTTAATCCTGGAGGCCTGAGCTCAAAACACTCAATGACTTCTTAAAAGTGGGCATTTCCCTCCTACCATGATCATTACAGAACTGTTCACCAACTAAAAACTAGTATCCAGAAAACATTGGTGCAAAATAAGTGTGAATACATCCACGCGTGCGCACACACACACACAGATGTTCACCAATATAGGACATGTTCCTTGCAGATAAACTGGTCGGATATCTGATCAAATATCCCCAGTGTGTTTCTTCCAGAAGGATCTCTAAAATGAGACCCACATGGTGAAGGGCTCAGGAATAAGCACCAGTTCCTGGTTCCACATTTCCTCAAAGTGAGCAGAACTATACAGACCAACCACCACACTCACTCTGCAGCATAAAAAACAAGATTCAGAGAGATCATGGTGGGACTCCCCAAATAAACAGCCAAGATCCCTACCTCCTAGGTCAGTGCTATTCAGAATGAGTTGGACGGAGCACAGGGTGCTGCCAGTCTACAAAGTATTTGCTTCTGGTCTGGGAGAGATGAAGACTCACAAGACTGAGGGTAAATGTTCCAGAAACTTTTATAGTAATTTGATTGGGTAATTATATTAGTCTTTGAATCTAATAATAAAATCAGCTTCGATTTTAGACTTCCTTGTTTTTTTAACTTTATTTTTCTAGCAATTTATTTTTATTGAACCAGTCCACGATAGGTAGAATTTTTTAAAACTGTTCTCTATCTCCAGACACTCATGGTTCCCAAACTTTCCAATCAAATTCCCAAGACAACCACCCCTCCTTGCACAATCCTTCCTGCCACACTCCAGGCTCTCCTCAAATCTTCAGACTCAGAAATTCCCTCTGCCCTCCCTTTGAAGGTAGTATCTTTCATTAAGGGTGCCAGTAAACTTTCCAGTGTGTGAGTTGCAGGCACTGATGCCTGCAAGTCATCTTGGAGCTCAGACTAAAACATTAAGAGTTAAGTGGCTGATCAGTCTCCTAACACACAGCTGAAATAGCAGACTCTGGTGCCAGAAAACAGCCACAAAAGAAGAAATCTTCCACTAGAAACCTGTAAATGGGCTTATCCACATTAATTAACCTAAGGGAGCAGATGCTGTCTATTCATCATTCAAAGCCTGAAATGTCTTTCACTTCTCTCCTCCAGGGTGGTCAACAGACATAGAAACCCCATCGCAGCTTGGGGAGACAGAGTTTACTGATAAAGTGAGGTGTCTGCAGCAACAGGTATGATGAAGTACTACGGTAAGGGAGGATAGCATTTGTTCTGCCAGTGGGACCAAATGTATTGCCCATTACAAGAGAGTCCTCAACTAGCTGGAGAAGCACTATAGAAAGAAGAATTTAAACACATTCACACCTCCTCAAAACTGAAAGAAGAGAAAAACAGAGCAATGACAGCAGTGCTTAACAGACTAAACAAAGGAAACTGTAGATAAAGGTGGATCCAAGCAGCACGGATCTTCCTCAAGACATGTGCACACGGGGGCATAGGGCCAGGCTTTAGGCAGACCTTTTTTTAGAACTTTCAGAGACAAAAGGGCTACAATTTTAATGTAAGCCAGATACAAGCACCTTTTGTAGCTGAAAAGATGTATCATTGGCAAGAGCAGGAAAGGATCAGCAAAATCTGGTGGTGGCAGAGGGAATAAATACATGAGTGAGAGTTCTATTAGGTCTCTGCATTTGCATGGATATTCAGTGGATTTACATTTTAATTTTTTTTTTAGTAAAGCCAGAGAACAGATGCATGATGTGGTTTTGAAACTTCCTGCCATGAAGCCCAGTTCTCATTAGATCTAGCAAAACCAGGCCTGCCCTTGAGAAGACAACCTCACTGCAGCCCCAGTCTGGCCTGATATGGAAGCAGGTGCCTGAGCCACAGCTCTGACCTTGACTGTGCAGCCCCACTTCCCCCTAAGCCGGCAGGGAAGCAAAGTTCAATCCACTGTGCCCCTCTGTCAACCTATAATGCAATCCAACCTTGTGGGCTTCAATGCACTTCTTAGCCTCTGAGAAAGAGGAATAAGATGGAGTATCAACATGCACCACAGGCTAAGGGCAGAGAAAGTGACAGACATTCCTCAGCTGACAATCTTCCCAAAGCCTGCGGCCATCATCAGAGCTGGCCCATGAGCCTGTTCCTGCTCCACTCCAAGCTAGCCAGGCACCAGACTTATCAGCACAGTACCCGGCCAAGGTCAAGTACGGATATCTCCTGAGAGGTGACTAACATCTCAGGACGTCAGCAAGAAACCTGAGCCCAGGCAGTGACCATATCTCATTGTAATCACATCTAAGATGTGCCATCTAAGTTCCCATTTGTGTTACAGCTTTTCCAAGATTACTCATCTTTGATGCCAACAGAAAGACGTCATTAACTTTAAATCCCATAATCTGGATTTGTTTATTATGGTTACCTCCATGTCCGTACTGCTAAGATAACATAAAACTTTTCTAACTAAACCCTTTTTTTCTTTGTATTCATTAGCTTATAAGTTCCTCATGCCATCATGCCACCAAGTTCTGAGCTAGCCCCTGCCAGTGTGACGAGGAGGAAGGACAATCCTAGCCCTCAAGGAATTTACAGACTCACTGGACACATCACAAATAAAATGCACCTCCTTTCCTCCGCCCATCTTCCAACTCCTTTGGCAGTGTGTGTTCACATATCTACAGGGGTGGCTTTGGTTTTTACTTTTACCACAAATGTTCCATCTTTCTCTTCCGGTCATGTCTCAAAAAGCAAAGCTTAAACGCTGGTTATTTGAGAAATTGAGGCATAAAAAAGCAGGTATGGGACCTACAAACCAATCTGAGAAACAGATTCTGGTATCAATTTCCCAATTATACCCTCTTCTTATCACTCTGGTTTTCAGAGCCATTTATTCTTACCCTAATAATCTTCCTACTCAAAACTGACTTCATGATTCCACATACACCAAGTGCACCATCAGGACAACTTCTAAGTCAGAAGAGAGAGGACCTCACAATGTTACTGGGCAACGTGTCTCCACTTTCAGAAAACTATTTCCACACTCGTGGGGGTTGCCAAACTGTGTAGAGGTCATGTGCTTTGTATTCTGAAGGCTATTTAAAAGATGATGAGAAATGCAAACTCCTCTATGATGTGGCTTTCAAGTTATAAATGTCAATGACAGCCAAGTCTGCTGTGTTGGAACTTCTCCAACAACAGGTTGACAACAGCCTAATTCGACAGCTCTGGAGGAGGCTGACAGACAGCTGCTCTTTCAGTAGCTCTTTCCAAAGGAGCCAAGAGCCCTCTCCAAAGGCAGTTAGGTAAGATGCACTGAAGAAGGAAGGTGACAACATATTTGGTGGCAGATAGATACAGCCCAGGAGTGCCATATGACGCCAACACTCTGCCTGCTCCATGAAGGCTGTCAACCCCACACAGTGCAGAGTTGAGAAGAGGGAGGGGCAGACAATGCCTTGAAAGCAACGACAGCCCAGGAAAGCCAGAAAGATGCTCAACCTTCCCAGACCATAAGTCACAGCAACTGGGTATCGGGTCCCTGAAATGCCAGCCTGCTAGTCCCAGCTGCCATGCCTGGCAACTCTTAAAAAGCAGTAAACAGACCTCCCTGTCAACACTGAACTCATTTCAGAACAGTAAGATAGATTGTTTAGTTGTCCAGTCCCTGAAATGAAGTCCCATTCAATTAAAAGAGGTATGTGGATGAGGGGCATGAATGGATGAATTAAATACACTTGGCTACATCTTTAACAACCCCCTACCCCTCTTCAGAAGTTCAAAGTATTTTTGAGGATCTGAGGAGAAACTTCTTGCTTCTCTGGTTTCTCCCAGCAGGACAAACTCAAGGTGACAGCTAGAGAGAAGCCTCTGATAAAAGTCACACAGTCACATGATTTTCTAACTCCAACATTAAGGCTGTTTTTCACATCAGTCATTTGTCTGCTTGTGAGCTGCTAAGGTGCCTTTTTCTCTTGTGATATTGCTATAGTCAAAATTTATTCAAAAACCCACATACATAAGAAAAACAAGAATAATATTTAATGTTTCATTCTGTTGGCCCTATAACCTTGACGCTTGAATTCTATCAGTCTGTGAAATCCAAATACTCTGCTCCCAAGTTTAAGCATCTGATTTACCAAGGTAACTTTCAAGGGTATCCCACACAGTGGTGTTCAAGGCTTCAGACTATTCAGTAGTTAAAATCAGGACGTATTTAGTCAATTTCATCAAGATGTCCATAACTGGAGACTTAGGAAAATGCAGCCCTTGAGCTGAACAGTTCAGAAATTATGCCATCTGTATGAGTCATACTCTCCAGTTCTTTGGCTTCACTCATTCACATCATGACCCTCAGTGTCAGGTCTGGGGTGGGGCACCAGCCCTTCTGCATTAAGGTAAGTAGTCATGATCAAGCTCAATACATTTGTGACCAATAACGAATGAATAAGTAATAGAAGGCCTCATGCTCTAGTCACTATTAATTTTAGACAGAGAAAATATTCTTGCCCAAGATCAATTCCACCAGGTCTTACCCAGAGAGCCAGAGCTGTCCCCTCAGATATGGGCTACACTGGTAGGGCCATCCCCTCTGGGACTATAGTGTCTATATTTCGATGGTTCCAAGTTCTAACATACAGCTCAACTCCTGAGTCCTCTCCCTCCCACAGGCAAAATTCGGGTCCGTGCTTAGTCAGGGGAATATTTGTTTACCACAATACTTACATGGCCTAGTGGATCCTCCTCCACTGTCCACTTTAGAATAATCACTCCTGAAATCACAAGACAAAGACATTTTTAAGTTTCTCCTCTTCAGGGACATGATCCTGCAAACAGACAGGCTGACAAAGAGTTTCTATGAACTTTGCTTCTCCCGTTTTGGAACCCAACTGCCTTTTAAGATAGTCTCCCAAAATAAGTTACCTTAAAATAGCTAGGTAGCAGGTCCTATCACTTCAACACCCAGTGCACTTATCTGCAAAATTATATTATCTCATGTGTTAGGATCCAAATCCATTCATTATTAGCTCAGGAAGGCAACATTTGGCAAAGATGAAGCATCTGCACAAAACTGTTCTTTGTGCCAAGTTTCAAGAGGCATTACACAAGTTTTTATCAGTCCTAGTGGTTTCTGAACTACAATACATTCATATATGCACACAGTCCCAAATATATGTATAAACACAATTATAAAAATAGATAACTATTACACTATAGTAGTTCAAAATAAAAGATCAAGCCAACTGAGTTACAACCCTGCTCATTTGAATATAACCAATTACTTGTAACTGCTTCACCTTGAAGAATAAACCCCCCCCAAAGCAATAAAAGCCATTTGAGAAATAAATCTCCTATGTGCTTCTGATACAGATAATATGTAAAACTCCGTTTTTTTTAAAAAAAAAGAGAAACATCTTTACGTAGACACATACATGAAGTTTCTGATATTTGTACAAATCATCAGCTGATAATTGAGACAGAAAGAAAACTCAATTGGGAAGGAAGGAAGAAGAGGAAAAAGAGAGGGAAAAAAAGACTGGGTTGCACAGGCCAGTCTTGAAGCTGACCATTCAGTCTTCTAAGACTAACCATCTGGCCCATATTCTCAAAGACCTCAATGCAAGAACATGTACCATTTTCTGCTGGAAAATATCCAGTAGTGTTTGTTATTTTTAATTGAAACAAGCCAATTCCTTCTTCATGTGATCTGCAGGATATAAATGCCCTTCAGAGCATTAACATTTCTGTGTGGGGCATCAATCTCCAAGCAATACCAGGTGGTTATACACAGGGGGTGACTTGGGATAGCAGGCTCAACCTGCAGTTATTTAAATTCACCACTTCTATGCAACAGTCTGGCTACAATAAATGTTTACTTAGAAGGGTAGCAGTCTGGAAGGAACTGAATCAATGTCAGGGGAATCAATGCCATGTGGCCCCCTTTTTAATATTTTAATATTTTCAAAGCTCTAGGAAATAGCTTTAAAGTCAAATGGTTGTTGAAATGATATTACTGTGATATAGAAAGAGCTGCCAGGCCCAGGAAGTCAGGTCATTGAGATATATGGAATATTTCAAGGAAACAATTGTAAGCATCTTGGTCATCATTCAAAATCCCTCATTATGTGTAGTGGTCTAGAGTAATAAAATGAATACCCACCCATGTGCCTCAGGACTAAATAATATCACCTTATTTCAGCTTTTACTCTTTTTGGTACATTTTCATAAACATCTCATTTGTTACATTATATGGCAATTTTCCTTATGAATGTCTGGACCAAGTGAACTGGCAGTAGATGACTAATGAATCATACCAGAAAGAAGACCTAAAATTTGAAGAATGTTCATGATGTGTGCCAAAAGAAAAGTTCATTATCCTTTACCTACCCCCACTACTCCCAAATCTGGAATTTACACTCATTAAAAACTCAATCTCAATTTTATGCTCAGAATCCCTAGTCATATGAAAACTACATTATCCTTGGTTCTATACACTAACAAAGCAAATGGTCACCAAGAAACTAGAAGGTGATTCACTTCTGTCCTACCAGTTTCAATGCTCAAATAATTTTAAATAGTTTCTCTTGCAAAGCTAAGTACATATAACATTAACAAAAATTTATAGTCATTTCTAACTGAGTGTATAAGGAAAATTTTCAAAGAAGTCCTTTCTCCTAATTTTCAAAACACCAATCCACAGTTTTCAAGATTTCCACTAGAAGTAACTTTTAGGGAGATTAACAGGCTCCCTTAATCTCTTCTTGGATTTATGTTTTTATTTCCTCCCTTTTGTTAATTATACCTAAACTCTGAAAAGTATTTGCAAATAGAGACCATAGGAATGCTATTCAGTCTATAAAAAATACAGCAGCAATCACAGGGAACAAGCAGTGAGAGCAGCCAGGAAATACCGGAATTCCATTTTCAACCAATATTTACCCCTTTTACTTTATATTCTGCATAAAGATTATAAATGACTCACAAACAAGAAACTACCTGATAAACACTGTACTCCAGGTAACTATTCTATTCAAAATTTGCATTCATTTTTGCCCTTCCCCGAAGATGAGCCATGATAAACCAATGGATATTCAAGAACCACTCATGCAGGATCCACTCTGAATTTGATGACAGGAACGATGGTGGCTCATTACAGACCAAGAGTTCTCACTCCTCTCCATCCCTGGAACCTGACAGGGTGGTGCCTTTTCAATTTTTACACTTAAACTTTTCATTCTCTATTTCCAATGGATGATGTATCTCCCCAAAACGACCCAGGATGAAACGCAGTGGAGGCTTTCCTTCTGTTTCTACAGTCTAAGCAAGCTGGCTTGCTGGGAGCACTCAAGTCCCATAATTTATATAATAATTTATTCAAGTGAGAAAACAGTTGACGAGTCTCTAGGGTTCTGCCTAAAATATCGTCATGCTTAAAGAAAAGATTTTAAATAAGACAACATCGTGGTACACACTAGAAACAAGCCATAACCATGTCTATCAGCTCTAAGTCATTCAATCTTCCTTAGATAGCCTTTCTGCAATCAGAAGTGACATAGAAAAAGGCCTCCATAGTGACAATACTGCTTCATAAGGCTCTTTATGTTGGCCAAAAGCGGCAATATTCACCACTGCAGTGAAAGTCTACCCATTTGCAAAGACATAAGATCTTAACCTTAAATATGCTTGGTATCATCACACTTTAAATTTTCTAGCACTTTCCATTACAATAAGGTCTCTCAACAAGCATCTATTGAAAGTTTCCAAAAAATAGAGCTAAATCTAACTCTGCCCCTCACTGCCCGTGTTGCCAGAACACAAATTTGTGAGGACAACCAAGTGCCTCTCCAACCTTTCATGTTCTGTCTGAAAAGAGGCAAAAACCACAGTGCCTCAGTCAGAGATGGGGGGAATTCACAAACACAAAGCACCAAAAAGCACAAGTACCACATCACAGAGGCTCTGGTCCTCTCCAAATGTTAGTGGTTCCTATTACTGTGGTTATTATTGCTACAATAAAACAATAAATTAATAGGATCATAAATGGCCAGTTCCAGAACCAATCAAACCTGGACCAAGAACCTCAGGCAGTGTCCCTTGTGTTCCATTTTCATTTTGCTGACAGCTACTTTATCAGGCAGGCATGACAATGATGATGATTTAGGTGCTTGGGTTGGAATACAGATAGTCCCCAGGTAAGAGTATCACATTCACAAATGAGAAAAAAATAGCCAAACTTTTTGACCTCTGAATTCATCACTAACTTGGAAAAAGAAATTGGCAAAGCAAAATCCCAGACCCACCACACACCTACTGAACTCCACCCTCTGGGTTGGGGCCTCACAATCTCTTTGAACAAACCCACCAGGAGACTCAGATGCATGTGCGAGCTTGAAAACCACTACAAACCCATGTGGAGGTAATGTGCTCTCCAGGCAGTGACTAAACTGGGCCAGGCGATGGATAATCATCATGTATGGAACCCCCTCCAGAACCTCTCTCTGCTCCAGGCCTACTAGAGATATGTGGAAGGGGCAGGGGAGGGTACAGGATGCAACCCAGTTAGCTCTCCCACCCTGCCTTGTGGCTTTGGGGGACCCGGTTCCGGGTTCAGTCACAGAGAAACTTCTTGCTTGCCAACCCGCCTCTGGGGGGTGCCGGGAGCAGTCCAGTGGCCTCACCTCGGCAATGAATCGTGTTGCACCTTGGCCTCTGCTGTGCCCTGGGAGCACTTAGGGACTTCTTCCCAGGTACCTGAGGCCAACCAGTGGTCTTGGTTTGGTTTCCGGCGGGCCCCCCTCGAGTCACTACCCTGATGTATATGAGGAGTTGGGGGGGTACAGGGGAAATATTCAACTGTGGAAAGGGGTAGCACCAGAAGCTTCCCACTTTGTGGAGGCAGCTGCCTCATCATCACATTTACACTGTTGGGGGATGGCCAACTGACTCGAGGAACTCCCACTGCATGCTCCCTGACTACCCGGCGCTGCTCAAGGGTGACCTGACCGTAGTGGGCCCTGTGCACTTGCCATTTCTAATGTAGCAGGAAACACTAGGTGAGGAATCCCCTAGTCTCCTTCCTGCTTGCTAAGCACTGGCCAACCACACTCAAGCTTCCCTTATACCTTGCCGATACCGCGGACAGGCCTCCCACCAGCCGTGGTGATCCCAGAAGCTTCTGTGGCCCCAATAGTTCTCCATGTATATTCCTAGAGGGGTCCATGCGCTCTCAGCTGAAGTCTTCTCTACAAGGGGAACTTTTGGGGGCAAAGGCTCTCCCAGCTTCTGCCCTTCTTCTGAGCTCAATAGCCACCAGTAGCAGAGTCAATCCCTCACCTCCATTAAGGTGAGGGTTTGCTGAACACTTTGCCAAAAAAAAAATTTTTTTGAAAACCACTGTTAATAGATTAACACATGGGTTGGGATAGCACTCCAGAAAGCCCTTTTCCTTAAAAAAACAAACAAAAAAACAAAACAAAACTATGTGGCATTTTTCTGTTCCTTAAAAACTTGCTATAGGATGATGTCAACTGTTCCTTTCTATTTTTACATCCTCATGATGAGGCTGATGGTGATTCACTCAGCACTTATGTGATCACTTAAATAGTAAAGATCTTTCTCTCACCCCTAATGGAAGGTGACGGCTGCCTGTTATTTTTGATGTAATTATAGGAACAATTCAGTAACAAAAGCTTGTCCTTTATCAACCTCAGCAACAGCTGTAATAGAGAGTTATAATTATAATGTTCCATTCTTTTCTGTAATGTGTTCATAC